GCCCAAAATTGATCCTCATAGATCCGGCTTAGAGAACCCGCATAGAGGCCTTTTTGAAGCTTAAACCCTAAGCCTTAAACCCTCCTAGACTATATATATATATATATATACATATAGCAGAACCCCGCATAGAACCGGCGAAGAGCCTCTGAACCACTGGAAACCGTCAGAGGAACTGAGCTCCACACGGTCGGCGAGACTCGCCAGGCACTCCTCCCCTGCTGTTGGAGGGTCGAAGATTCGAGGGTTTCGGGTTTAGGGTTTAGGGTTTCGGGTTTCGGGTTTAGGGTTCAGGGTTTAGGGTTTTCGGGTTTGAGGCTTCGGGTTTAGGCTTTCCTGTCTAGGGCTTCGGGCTCAGGGTTTCTGCAGGCTTAGGGGGTTTAGGAGTTTAGGGCACAGGGCTGTGGGTTGAGGGCTTAGGGTTTCGGGTTTAGGGTTGGGGGAGGCTCAGGCTTTTGGGTTTGGGAGCTCCCGGGTTTTAAGATTTACGGTTGAAGGCTGAAAGGGTCTGCTTTGGGCGCGAACGTTAAGATTGCAACTTGAACAAGGCTCTGTCCTGTCCTGCAACAGGCAGAAGTCCCGCGGGCGAGAACTTCCCAAAACTGCAAAAACTAGGGAAGAACCTCCTGAAACAAGCTTGAACCCTAAGCCCTGCACCCCAAAGCAATCTGGAGCACCCTACCCTAAACCCTAAACCCTACACCCCAAACCGTAAACCCTAAACGCTAAACCCTAAACCCTAAACCCTAAACCCTAAACCCTAAACCCAAACCCGTAATCCCAAGCCGCTAAGCGCCGGGCCAAGCCCCAGAAGCATCTCGCGGTCGTCTTGGCTTTGTGGCACATTCTGCGGAACCAGCGCCTGTATGGGGAGTTTTAGGGTTTAGGGTTCAGGTTTTGGGTTAAGATTATAGCATGGTGTAGTCTAGTCTAGTATAGCATAATACAGTGTGCTTCTGGGTGTTGTGGCTCAAGGTCGGGGCACGGAGTTAAACTTGTATGCCCACCTAGTCGGGGTTGCAAACAACCTTGGTCCAAATTGGCAGTAGCCCTGCTTGTCGCCACATCAATACAAGCGCTGTAATAAATAGAACAGAGTTTTGGTGATTATCACAGTATAGTCATATAGGAGCTATATCGGGAAACGAACCCTACCTATCTAGACCCCTAAACCCTAAACCCTAAACCCTAAACCCTAAACTCTAAACCGTTCTTCAACACACAAACGCCTCGTTGAGCTCCGAAGGACGACACGTCGACTCGGGCGGTGCCTCTGCCTCCGGGGCGACAGCCTGGCAGACCAGAGGGGGTAGGTCGGTTGAAAGCTACGGTTCCAGTGCAAGTGTCTGGACAAGGGACTCAGCAGCAGCAGCAGCAGCAGCAGCAGCAGCAGCAGTAGCAGTAGCAGTAGGAGTAGTAGTAGTAGTCGTCGTCGTCGTCGTCGTCGTCGTCGTCGTAGTCGTAGTCCTCGTCGTAGTCGTCGTAGTAGTAGCAGTAGTAGTAGTAGTAGTCGTCGTCGTCGTCGTCGTCGTCGTCGTCGTCGTCGTCGTCGTCCAATTAGTGTTGTTCGTAGGCGGAGGAGCAGCAGGAGGAGGAGGAGAGGGTGAGGCAGCAGCGGTATTAGGACCAGCGCTAGATACAAAGCGGCTAGGGGCCACATTCAAGCTTGAACAAACAGTTTATGTATGAGTATGAGTCTTTAGGGCCAGCCTATGTTCACATGTTGTTAGTATGTCAGAATATGACGACTGCTCAGAAGTCTCCGTCCTCAAATTCTGGCTGTTATCTTCGTGACTTCAATGTGTGAAGCTTTTTGAACTTGCCCAGGTGAAGTCAAGAGTAATACTAATTACTACCTACCTTCGGCCCAGATGAAACATTGCAGAGCAATACGAGGAGCTGTGTCCAGGCCCCTACTGTTGCTACTATCACTACAAATGAGCTATAATGACTCTGCCGCCTTGTGAGGCAAAGTCGCCACCCGAAGTATTGATATTGTTTTGCTGCTGTGATAGGTTGCTATTGCCTGATACTGTTTCTTGCGTCCAATCCTTTTGTCGTTGTTCGTCCCCGTCATGTTCTCATGGTTAACACCACCAGCATATCAGCACTGCTTTGACTTTCCTTCCACTGCGGCTACTCCTTGCTGTGGGGACCCGGCCTCCTCCAACAGGCGGACCTTGGCAACTCGGGAAACAAGGCGGGCTCCGGAGCCATGCTCGGATACTGCACAGCGTGGGGCATGGAGTGACGGCTTGTCCAGGTTTGAAGTCAGGCAGTCCCAACGTGCCAGAAAAGGCAACACGCCCGTTTGAATCAAACCGCCCTGGCTTCGTGCTTCCAGGTCGCTATTGGCATCCGCATGAGGACACTTCCAAAAGTGCGCATGTAGCAGAAGATGGCTTCTTCAAGAATGAAGGGGGGAACCCTTGTCTCTAACACCCGTAAACATACCCCACCGAACGCAGCCGATGCAAACCCTCTGAAATGTTAACCGTAGGATCCTGACTACCGGGATCCCCAGAAAAGGACACGAGTTTATCTTTACGAGAGCACCTTGTCAGTGTGCACTTAAACCCTGTCGTGGTAAGGACCTACCCTAAACCCTAAACCCTAAACCCTATCTTTACTCCCCAGTGGCCTGGTCTTCGAGATCGCGGAGCTGCTGGTCGACCGCTTCAAAGTCAACCTGCCCTGCATCGAAGGAGGCTCTTTCTTCGGTTTAGGGTTTAGGGTTTAGGGTTTAGGGTTTAGGGTTTCGCCAAGGGAAGTTACTCCAGGCTCAAGTTTGGACTGAAGGTGCGATACAGGCATTTTAGCAACATCAACAGACTGGCGTCACAAAGTCTTGGGGCCCTGAAGGGGGTACATTCTCTGGCACACAAAGCCTCAAACACACAAGGTCAATAATTACCCTCTGACACACGGGCCTTCGTGCTGCGCATTTTCCGCAGCATCGTCGTCCTCGACACGACCGCGACCACGACAACGACGCCGCCGACCACGTGACGAGAACTGCGGCGACTGCAGCGTAGTTGTAGTCTTCAAGGTTTGGGCCGTGTTGAGATCCAAGCTTCCAGCATCGTCCTTTCCAGCCCCAAACCCACTTTACTCACTTTAATCACAACGTCCTTGAGTTCCATTTATTCACCTTAGTCACAACGTCCTTGAGTTCGTGGTAGAGCCGGGAGTACAGGAGCCGGGCCTTCACAGGCGCAAGGCGTCCCTTTCGTCCGGGGGGTGGCCAAGGCCAGCAGCAACAGCAGCAACGTGGAGGTCAAGGCTGATGAGATGCTGAACATGAGAGGCTGATGAGATGCTGAACATGAGAGAGCTTATGAGTCTTGTCCTACATTACTAGTCGCCTTCTTGCCGGTTTTCGTACTCTTGTGATCTCTTATGTTTAGTGCCTGCCCATTAGCATGATTGCCGCGTTGACTGATCAATCGCGGGAGTCAGGTTGACACCTGCGGGACTTGCAGCTCGTGGTTCTCAATTTACATACTTCAACCCTTCGGAGGCTGGGAAAGGTTGGGGGGGTGTTTAAAACCCTCAAGCTTTCGCGAGTCCGGGGCATCTCGTCCGTTTGCAGCTGTCAGGCGCTAGGCTGCTAGGCCTCATACCTCGGCGTTCCTGCCTTTCGCACCGAAAATAGGAAAACCCGGAAGCCGGTGCCTGCAACTCGCAGACCTCCTGCGAAAGCTTGTACCTCAGGGCAAAGTCAACGGACGACTTTCGACGATCGGGTTCAGGGAGAGTTTGGGCCTGGCATCGGGGAGCTTCGGTTCCTCGAGGTGTAACACTGGCGGGGCGGGTACAGGCATTTCGGTTCTGCTGACTGCCAGCTAAAGATTTGCAACCCCTTCCATCAGACGGACGCTCGCTGCGCAAACCGTGAAATCTGGAGGACCCTTGGACGTCGGTGATCTCCCTGCTATTCTCCACGCAGTTAGGTAAGCAATGGCGTCAAACTAGCCTTTATGCCACACTCTTGCAAAAGGGAACAAAAACCTGTATCGACCCCAGTCCCTTTCTGCCTTCCCTCCCTCCCTCCCTCCCTCCCTCCCTCGGGGCACAGTTGAGCCTGGAAAGGGCTCGTGCCGGCGGGACTCCCGTGGCCCTCACCGTCCTGCTGAATGTCTGGCTGAGGGTTTCGGCGACACCGCGGGCGCTCGTGTCAGGTCGTAGGCAGGCTTCATGAAGAGTGAAGCGAGGGCTTCTCAGCTCAACCGCTGCCCAAGGGCCTACTTACCACGGCCGATCATCGTACCTTCATCCGATTGCACTTGCTGCGAAACAGAAGAAAAGATTGCTATTGCTGCTACGGGCAGTAGAGGTAACAGAAAGTACTAACACTAGTACTAACACTAGTACTAACACCAGTACTAGTACCAGTACGAATACTAGTACTAATGCCAGTAGCTACTACGACGACGACGACCATAGTTACACAACAATACCTTGCTCCCGAATCCCGAAATCCGGTGATTGAAGGCCTCGGGAGTCTGTGCGTGCCAGCGCTCCAGCTCTGCCACCTCTGACAAGAGCTACGAAGCTACGAGGGCTACGACGACTTCGGGTTCTCTGCCATGTTCTTCTACTGGCATGATGCTCACTATCGCTGTCTACTGGAGTCCTCCGATGATTCTTGGTCCGAGTGGTGCTGTTCTTCTTGTTGCCAACACAGTTGGGAGAAGTGGTTGATCAGGGTTCCTGCCACTCCGGCTACAAAGACTGCGACTAAGACGACAGCAACGAGCACCATCTCTGCTGCTAACGCCGCGACTCATACTACGAGAGCTTCGACTACGACGATGATGACCACGATGGGCACGACCACGGTCACAACACTTGCTACACCAAAAGCTTACCATCACCACAACTGCTGCGACTACGAAAACTATCTAGCATTTGGTGCAGAGTTTCGAGTCCCCGGGTAGGTCTAGGGTTCAGGGGTTGCAGGCATTAGGCATGAGAAGACGGAGACGATGATAGTGAAGGCCCGCGGCAAGGCATCGGAACATTGCCGGAACTTCCGCTAAATCCCTAGAGGAATCCAAAAACCCTAAACCCCGAACCTTGAACCCCAAACCCTAAACGGAAACATGAAGTCCCAAGCACTGGAGTCCTTATGAGAAGGATCCGAACGGAAAGGATCCTGAGTCGCAGAAGACTCCTACAACCCTGCAAAGTTTAGGGCTTAGGGTTTATGGGTTTAGGGTTTAGGGGTTAGGGTTTAGGGTTTCTGTTGTGATCCCTCTCTAAGGGAGACCTGAGGCCCCCCACCCGTGCGGCCAAGGCATCTGCCGCAAGCAGATGACCTTGTACTTAGAGGATCATGGGACTTAGTAAGTAAGGTTATAAGTCCCTTAATGGGGGTTATAAGTATAGTTACCCTAATTATAACCCTACTTACTAAGTCCCATGATCCTTTAAGTAGGTTCCGGCCCGTCCCGATGTGTCCGGCTTAGGACAAGACGAGCTAATCAGAATTTAGGGGGTTTAGGGTTTAGGGTTCCCCTCAACGCTTCTATAAGGGATCTGTACACAGCTGCCGGTTATAACAGCCACTTAAATGCATTCGTGATATGCCGCTGGCAAGATTGAGCCGCTGGGCATCAATGTAGGTCTATATCGCCTGATAGGTATGCAGGGTTTCAAATCGCGGTCTGTTTCCACACATTTCAAAACGCTTCAACCACGCAAGAGGAGGCGGTCTCGTGCACTTCACTACTCTTTCTGATTCGACTCCGGCTGAACGTCTTGCAAGGGAACCCAGCCTGAGCACCTCCGACTTACCGTGCTTCTGAGAGCTTTTGCCTCAACAAAGCGGGAACTCATACCCGCCGCGGCGCCTGCCTCAATTCCATCACAGCTTCGGAGGTGGTAAAAATGACGGCCCAAACCCCTCAACCCTAAACCCCGACACCCAACACCCAGCCACCCGAAACCTCCGAACCCTAAACTCCGGGAAGCTCCGGACTTAAGGACTCTGCCGGCCACCACGTGGAGCTCAGGAGCTGCTTCCTGGGGGTAGCTCATGGAATACCTGGCAGGGCTTGTAGGGGTTCAGGGTTCAGGGCCGAGGGTTCGGGGTGTATGGTATAGGCTTTCAGGGTTCAGTAGGACTTTGGGCTGAGGGTTTAGGGCTTAAGACTTAGGGCTGAGGGTTTCGGGCTTAGGACTTAGGGCTGAGGGTTTAGGGTTTAGAGTTTCCCCGAACTCAGGGCTTTGGGGTCTCGCTTTGGCCTTCGGGCCTGGTCTCCACGCAAGATTCTGAGACGGTATCTACGGCTGCAAGCTATGACACACTATGCCGTGCTATGAATCAATACCTGCGCTAGACCATGCGATACCCCATGGCACTGCCGCTGCTCGGGCTTATGGCGACCGCCAGCGCTGGCACCATGCCATACTCGCTTCCAGCAACTCGTCTTCACCGCACCTGTGTGCACTGCTACAAAAGGCTCCTCCGGACTGCATGGCCTCGCGGAGGTGTTCCTCTGTCTCTGAATGCTCCTGCCAACTTCGGTTTTTTGACCTTCAGGAACGGAGGAGCCGTTCTGGTCCCGCGGGCCAATTACCGCACCGTCGCCCGCATGTCTTGCAGCGCTGGTTCCTCCGCTGCGATTGCTGCCGCCGCGCTGCTGCGTCACCCTGGTAATCCGTGACCGACTTTTCGCTGCTTATCACCACCGTCCTCTTCTGAGCCCGTTTCTGTACTTCGCCGACGCTTGCGTTGGTGCCGACGCGTGCTGCGGCGACGTGTCGCAACGACTGCTAGGTTTTCATGTCGTTCTCATCTGTAGGCGACTGCCACTGCTTGTTTGGTGCCGTGTGTGTAGCTGATTCGTGCTCTGTTATTGATGCCTCTTGGTCATACATGATTTTGCTACAGGCTAGAACCGAAAACCAGCTTGTAAAGCCCCAAACCCTGTTCTGCCAGAGTACATCACGCCCTTTCGCCGCACCGAGACCACGAGGAGACCACCAGAGACCACTAGCCATTAGGAGACCACCAAGACCTGAAGAAACCAGCCGAACATTCCCAGGGAATCATCAGGAGATGCCATGAGACCACCTTCCGGAGACCACCAGGAGACCACCGGCAGATCGCCAGCAGAACAGCAGGAGACCACCTAGAGAACACTGGCCTTACAGGGGTAGTTGACTCTTCCGCAGCCTGCCTTGGGGCTACACCAACCAATCTTTTTACACGTAACGTTCCATGGTGTACCACTCAACAAAAATCCATACAGACACCCTGTAAAAATCTGATGGATGCCGCAAAACCCAAAGACGCTCTCGAAAAAAACCCTACAACCGCAGTGTTCGCAAGCTTATCGGAACCCCCTGAAGGGAGACCTTCAAAAGAACCCTTTAGTGGAGCCCTCAATGACATCCCCCCTTAAGGGAGACCTTAAAGAACCCTTTAGTGGAGCCCTCAATGACATCCCCCCTTAAGGGAGACCTTAAAAAGAACCCTTTAGTGGAGCCCTTCATGACATCCTTTGCTCCCAAGAGCTTCCAGGGGCACCTCGAGAACTTCCCCTCCGAGGGCCCTCCGGGCGTCTCCCAAGCAGCCACCCCCTCGGCAGCCAGGCCCTGGGACTAGCTTCCAGAGGGTTTAGGGTTTAGGGTTTCGGGTTTAGGGCTTAGGGTTTAGGGTTTAGGGTTTTTTTTAAGCACCTTTTTCCACCTAGCAGACAAGGTCGCGCAGAATCCGCTTTCGCGAAAGGCACGTAAGACTTGCATACTCAGGGTTTAGGGTTTAGGGTTTAGGGTTTGGGTTTAGGGCTTGGGCCCCAACTTCATGGGCCTTATAGGGTTTCAGAGGGTTTCGGGTTTGGGGCTCGGTGTTCAAGCTTAATTTCTAGGGGCTTCTGCAAAATAGGGTGGAGAGGTTGTGTATTTGGGGACCTGCGGATTTTGAGGTTTGAGGCCTCGGATATAATCAGAATATCGCTTTCGGATGAGGTTTCAACGCATGACCGTGGCATGCAGCGCACCAGCAGCAATAGTTGTGTAAACAGGAGGAGCAGACGCAATGGCAGAAAATAGTGAGAGTGAAGCCAGGCATGTAGTTCATGGCACGACGGGGCTGCTGGTGTACGATGGTGAGTGTCCGTAGAAACAGAAGCAATAGCATCCTCATCACGAGTACCATCATCATCATCATCGTCATCATCGCATATGAAGCACAATGACAAACAGAGCCGACAATAAACAGCAGAAGTGTTGGAAGTCAGACATGCTGAACTACAGACTCCAGAATTAGACTAGGGCTTTGCAGGGTACATTGCGCGATCATTCTATCTTGGACTAAAAAGGTGTAAAATATGAGTTCTCATAATCAAGGCCCCTATAGATATCGAGCGTTTTAAGGGTTATACGGGGATATGGGTAGTTCTCGAAATTAAGGTCCCTTTTAGGTCCCCAAAATAGTACAGCAGCCTTATAAGAGAGACCCCAAAGGGGACCCCAATCTAGAGAACTACCCTTTTGACGTCTCCTGTTTTGCTGATGGGCCTCGGCCATCTGCCCCGGCGGCGTACACATCTGCTGCCCCAAGCCCATGTAGAGCCTCGGTCCGATTTTAGAACCGAAGGGGTTTAGGGTTTAGGGTTTAGGGTTTAGGCTTTACTTTTCTGGTTTGTGGTTTTGGGGTCCTTTGCAGTATTTGTGAACAGGTACCTCCACAGCGGTTAGGGTTTAGAGCATGTTTAAGGCTAAGTAATGGCTTAAGCGTATGGGGGTTTAGCGGTTTAGCATTTGCGGTTTAGGTTCAGAGAGCCCCTGGCCAAATCGTCTCGCCGACTTCCTCCAAAGGCCCAGCGCCCGTCCTGAAGCCTAAACCTTCTTGAGGGAGGGCTGCAAATCCAGCAGCGCCGATTTATCAGGTCCGAGGTTGAATCTGCGTTCTGGCTGCGGACGTCGCACAGGCGCAGAAAGTTCAACACTAAAGCCTTAACCCTTTGTTCAAACCTTAAGCCTATCATGTTCAGTCTCTGGAGCCTTGCAACGGTTCCCATTCTCCCTAGCCTTGGACCAGGGATCCGGCTCGTGCGAAGCACTCGCGATGCAAGGTAGGCTCTCGCCAGAGCTGCTGCTGCTGCTGCTGCTGCTCTCGCTGCCCGGATCCTGCGGCGGATGGCAACACATGCCCTTCAGACGCCCACAGTGAAAATGCTACCATCACCATCACTGCTGCTACTACTACTACTACTACTACTACTACTACTCCTGCTGCTGCTGCTGCTGCTGCTGCTGCTGCTGCTACTACTCCTACTGCTGCTACTACTGCTGCTCTCTTACTATGACCACGAAACGCTTTCAACTTCGGGTCCTCTTGCAGGAAGCCAGGCGGCCTCGGCACGCGGAGTGTGCTGAGGGCTTTTAAGGGTTTAGGCTTTAGGGTCTAGGTTTGAAAATATACGGTTTATGTGCTAGAGGCTTTGGGCTGTTTACCGGGCTTCCATAAGGGGTGTTGTCTGAATTCGTGGCTTATAACTATAAGTTCTCTATCAAAGCGTTTCAGGGGCTTTTTTCTGGTGAGTTTTCAAACCAAGAACCATTAGCTGCCATTGCGATTGCTCTCTCTCTCTCTCTCTCTGTTTTCTTTCTTTCGTGCTTCTTGTCCCTGTTGCATTCATGCTTTCATGTGCTCCATGACAGTTGCTCTGTCAGTTGCCGCTAGAGCGGTCGCTGTACGGCGGCCGAGGGCGAAACGGGAGGTTTACATCCACCACTCCTGCCACACCTGCGCCGGCAGTTTCAGGGAGGGGTCTTCAGGTGCCAGATCTAAAGATCTCGGAGTTTCGTGTTTTGCGTGTTAAGTTCAACGATTTGGGGGCTTTCTTGGGAATAGGGCTTTCGGTGGTATGCTGTACTACATTTTATACAGGGCTTTGAAGGAATCATTGTGGTAGGGCCCTCCGGCCTGCTTGGCTATCCCTCCCACTCGAAGCACGCCAGATATAGGGTTTAGGGTTTAAGGTTT